GTGGGGGGGGAGGGGCTGTGCGCGTGTGTGTCGTGGGGGAGGTGGGCGGACATGATCACGACGTTAGAAATGTTCAGGTATAAATGGAGGTGGACAGCCAGTATTAAACATGGACAGAATAAGAACAACTATACACCAGGAAACTTGCCCAAATCGGCCTCGGGAATGTTACATGGAATATTACTTTAGTGTCAGGGAAGTGGAGTGGAATGAGCCGTTACGAGAGGTCCTGAAAGTTGTCTTCATAAATTGCTTTATAAATAAATATATCGGAACCCAGGAGGATTCCGGTACAGTTACACGTGTCGGGTGACTTTTGGAAGACAGGACCTGAGAGCTAACGCTCGACTGGAACACAATGGAAAGTTAATAAAAACATTGATGACAACCGTGTACATTTGGGTGTGAATAGTGAAGTAGGCGGAGCAGTGAGTGACATTACCAAAGGTGCAGGCAGCTGGCAGCCTCTGCTTGGTCCGCATTGCGGTAGTATTGACGTATTTTGCTGTTGAAGGTTCATTCTTGAGGTTCAGCATATTGCTCACGGGATATATTGTAAACTGTATGTATTTACTGTTTGTGTCTGCAGAATCCAGGTATTAGCTCTTGGACCCCGCCTTTCTAACCATGTTTGTTTATAATATATCTACTACATATATTTATCTCTAAAACGCGCGCGCGCACATTTTAGAATCGGAGTGGAATGCATTAGGAAGTAATGTGGTGGAGGCTGACTCCATACACAGTTTCAAATGTAGATATGATAGAGCCCAGTAGGCTCAGGAATCTGTACACCTGTTGATTGACAGTTGAGAGGCGGGACCAGAGAGCCGAGGCTCAACACCCGCAAGCACAACTAGGCGAGTCCATCCCTAGAAAGCAGCCCTTACCAAGTGTTTAACATCCGGGTACCTATTCACTGCTAGGTGAACAGGGAACATCAGGGTGAAAGAAACGAGTGTCCATTTATTTCCGCCTCGGTCTGTGTGTTTAGCAGCAGTTGAGATGTATTTCTTGCTTATCTCAATAAACATACTTGAACTTGAACTTTAGTAGCATATGGCATTGCAGTATGAGAGAGGATGGTGTGTGTGTGTGTGTGTGTGTGTGTGTGTGTGTGTGTGTGTGTGTGTGTGTGTGTGTGTGGAGAGATGAGTTACGGGCCCGTGGTGGCTGAACTTGAAGGTTGTCTGGTGGCAGTAGTACACTAACCTTGACCGGCCGCGCCAACATTTTCATGCTACTCTACGCTCTCTGAGTCAGCTGAGCATGCAAAGCCGTGGCTTTTTTATCCTTGGTACGAGGCGGACACCGGCTTCACCACTGCTACTCGAGACATTACAAATTAGTGCAATAAATCCCAAATTGTTCGGGTTTGGAGAATATTTGTCAAATATATAGATCTTAAAATATTCTCACACTTTGCACCTTCAAGATTACGCAAGTTAAACGGTTAGTAAATGGTGGTGGTGGTGGTGTTTGTTCACTTGAGACAAGTCAGTCTCAACTGCGTCTGGGTACACGTGGCGGGATAAACAACCCAGCTGCGTCTGGGTACAAGTGACGGGATAAACAACCCAGCTGCGTCTGGGTACAAGTGACGGGATAAACAACCCAACTGCGTCTGGGTACAAGTGACGGGATAAACAACCCAGCTGCGTCTGGGTACAAGTGACGGGATAAACAACCCAACTGCGTCTGGGTACAAGTGACGGGATAAACAACCCAGCTGCGTCTGGGTACACGTGGCGGGATAAACAACCCAGCTGCGTCTGGGTACACGTGACGGGATAAACAACCCAACTGCGTCTGGGTACAAGTGACGGGATAAACAACCCAACTGCGTCTGGGTACAAGTGACGGGATAAACAACCCAGCTGCGTCTGGGTACAAGTGACGGGATAAACAACCCAACTGCGTCTGGGTACAAGTGACGGGATAAACAACCCACTGCGTCTGGGTACAAGTGACGGGATAAACAACCCAACTGCGTCTGGGTACACGTGGCGGGATAAACAACCCAACTGCGTCTGGGTACAAGTGACGGGATAAACAACCCAACTGCGTCTGGGTACAAGTGACGGGATAAACAACCCAACTGCGTCTGGGTACAAGTGACGGGATAAACAGCCCAACTGCGTCTGGGTACAAGTGACGGGATAAACAACCCAACTGCGTCTGGGTACACGTGACGGGATAAACCCCCCTTGGTGACAATTCCACCCCCCACCCGGTGACAATTGCACCTTCCCCCAGTGACAATCCCCCCCCCCCCGGTGACAATTCCACCCCCCCCCCAGTGACCTTCCCCATGACATTCCCCCCCCAGTGACATTCCCCCCAGTGACATTCCCCCCCAGTGACATTCCCCCCCCCCCCGTGACATCCCCCCCCCCCAGTGACATTCCCCCCCCAGTGACATTCCCCCCCCAGTGACATTCCCCCCCCAGTGACATCCCCCCCAGTGACATCCCCCCCAGTGACATCCCCCCCCAGTGACATCCCCCCCCAGTGACATCCCCCCCCAGTGACATCCCCCCCCCAGTGACATTCCCCCCCCCCAGTGACATCCCCCCCAGTGACATTCCCCCCCCAGTGACATTCCCCCCCCCCAGTGACATTCCCCCCCCCCAGTGACATTCCCCCCCCCCAGTGACATTCCCCCCCCCCCAGTGACATTCCCCCCCCCCAGTGACCTTCCCCCCCAGTGACCTTCCCCCCCCCAGTGACCTTCCCCCCCCCAGTGACCTTCCCCCCCCAGTGACCTTCCCCCCCAGTGACCTTCCCCCCCCCCAGTGACCTTCCCCCCCGTGACCTTCCCCCCCCAGTGACCTTCCCCCCCCAGTGACCTTCCCCCCCCAGTGACCTTCCCCCCCCAGTGACCTTCCCCCCCCAGTGACCTTCCCCCCCCAGTGACCTTCCCCCCCAGTGACCTTCCCCCCCCAGTGACCTTCCCCCCCCAGTGACCTTCCCCCCCCAGTGACCTTCCCCCCCAGTGACCTTCCCCCCCAGTGACCTTCCCCCCCCCCAGTGACCTTCCCCCCCCCAGTGACCTTCCCCCCCCCCAGTGACCTTCCCCCCCCCCAGTGACCTTCCCCCCCCCCCCCAGTGACCTTCCCCCCCCCCCCAGTGACATTCCCCCCCCCCCCCAGTGACATTCCCCCCCCCCCCGAGTGACATTCCCCCCCCCCCCGAGTGACATTCCCCCCCCCCCCGAGTGACATTCCCCCCCCCCCCCCGAGTGACATTCCCCCCCCCCCCCCCCCCCCCCCGAGTGACATTCCCCCCCCCCCCGAGTGACATCCCCCCCCCCCCCCCCCCCCCGAGTGACATTCCCCCCCCCGAGTGACATTCCCCCCCCCCCCGAGTGACATTCCCCCCCCCCCCCCCCCCCCCCCCGAGTGACATTCCCCCCCCCCCCCCCCCCGAGTGACATCCCCCCACCCCCGAGTGACATCCCCCCCCCCGAGTGACATCCCCCCCCCCGAGTGACATTCCCCCCCCCCCCCCGAGTGACATTCCCCCCCCCCAGTGACATTCCCCCCCCAGTGACATTCCCCCCCCAGTGACATTCCCCCCCCAGTGACATTCCCCCCCCAGTGACATTCCCCCCCCCCCCAGTGACATTCCCCCCCCCAGTGACATTCCCCCCCCCCAGTGACATTCCCCCCCCCCAGTGACATTCCCCCCCCCCCCAGTGACATTCCCCCCCCAGTGACATTCCCCCCCCCCCAGTGACATTCCCCCCCCCAGTGACATTCCCCCCCCCCAGTGACATTCCCCCCCCCCATTCCCCCCCCCCCCCCCCAGTGACATTCCCCCCCCCCAGTGACATTCCCCCCCCCCAGTGACATTCCCCCCCCCCAGTGACATTCCCCCCCCCAGTGACATTCCCCCCCAGTGACATTCCCCCCCAGTGACATTCCCCCCCCCCAGTGACATTCCCCCCCCCAGTGACATTCCCCCCCCCCAGTGACATTCCCCCCCCCAGTGACATTCCCCCCCCCAGTGACATTCCCCCCCCCAGTGACATTCCCCCCCCCCCCCCCCGAGTGACATTCCCCCCCCCCGAGTGACATTCCCCCCCCCCCCCCGAGTGACATTCCCCCCCCCCCGAGTGACATTCCACCCCCCCCGAGTGACATTCCCCCCCCCCCCCCGAGTGACATTCCCCCCCCCCCCCCCGAGTGACATTCCCCCCCCCCCCCCGAGTGACATTCCCCCCCCCCCCCCCCCGAGTGACATTCCCCCCCTCGAGTGACATTCCCCCCCCCCCCCCCGAGTGACATCCCCCCCCCCGAGTGACATCCCCAGTGACCCCCCCCCCCCAGTGACATTCCCCCCCCCAGTGACATTCCCCCCCCCAGTGACATTCCCCCCCCCAGTGACATTCCCCCCCCCAGTGACATTCCCCCCCCAGTGACATTCCCCTCCCCTGTGACATTCCCCCCCCCCTGTGACATTCCCCCCCCTGTGACATTCCCCCCCCTGTGACATTCCCCCCCCTGTGACATTCCCCCCCCTGTGACATTCCCCCCCCCCCCCCCCCCTGTTACATTCCCCCCCCCTGTGACATTCCCCCCCCCCAGTGACATCCCCCCCCAGTGACAATCCCCCCCCCAGTGACAATCCCCCCAGTGACAATCCCCCCAGTGACAATCCCCCCCCCTTCCCAGGTGACGCGAGGTTAATAAACCCAGCCCCCTCCAGGGTTCAGTATCCCCCCCCCAAGGGTTCATTACACCTTCCTCTCCTATCAGTGTTCGCTTCCAACCACTCCTTACTCACTACACCCCTCTCTACAGCCTCTCCAGATTGCATACAAACTCCTTGAACCTTTTCTTCACTTTGCATTCCATGTAGGCCTATTCAGTACTGTTATTAAACCACTGTATAATGACTCGTATACTAGGGTATTCCTCTGATAAATTCATGCAATTGAACCACATCTTGCTTGATATTTTGTTATACTGTATTCTGAATGTCATTTCTTTTTTCAGATGTTTAAATAATAGACCTGTGGTTTTAGTTTTGCATTCTGATATTTGCAAACTTTACCTACTGATTCTCCCGTAACTGCTACAGCGTCAAAATGATTGAAAGTCGATTATGGACGTTTCGCGTGTCATGCCAGGTTGCAGCCGAGGAGCAGGTCTGTAATATCTAACTCTAACATTGTGCTCTTGTTTGATGTTAGGTGCTTGGTTACTATAAAGAGCAAGGCTGGGAAAGTACGGGTGCTTCAGGTATTTTGTATCTTTGAACATTATTACAGTGTAAATACAAAATTAGATTAGTTGATTGTTCCTTAAGTTAGTGTACCCCAGGCATGCTCAATAGAATGCTCAATTAATTCAGACATTTGAATCATTTTCATTCAGGTGTGTGTGGTGGGGAACTGTGAATCCCTTGGTACGTGGGACTCTCAACGGGTGATCCCACTCTACCAAGAAGACCCTGTTGTAGCCAGTGCTGATAATGTGTGGTCAGCTTCAGTTCAAATACCATTTCTAGGGGTAAGTTCAGTACAGTATTTGCAACCACTTTTGATGCTATTTACAGTTACAAATACTTTGAATGTTTTGAGAACATTGCAGTGTGGCTTTACCATGGGCCACATTTTTACTGGGATTTGTTTAATTTTGCATCGGTAATATAATGCTGAACAGCTGATCCTCATTCAGGTGGAATTGTTTGTTTGAATGGAATTGTTTGTTTCTACACACTTCCGGTGTATCCAGTTTTAGGTTATATACATTTTGTTTTCTCTCCAAAATAGATCATTGTGCTCTATGATAGATGACATGTACCATACTGCAGTGGCGTGTCGTGAAAAAATGCTAGGGTAAGCAAATGCACAGTTAAGATCTTTGAAGCTCAAGTATGAGTACTGTATTAATAAAAATATTAGGTCATTGAAATTTAAATAAGTTTGAGTATAAATACACACAGGGATGATGTAGCTCAAGCTATTCTCACCCTGTACAGCATAACGCATTTATATACAGTACTGTATACACACAATCACAATCAACATATTGCTGAACATTCAGGTTGATAAATGTATACATTCTTCCTGTACACACACAGTAGGATGCCAAATGTTTTTATAACTAAGTACATAGACATAAGCAGCAATAGAGAGGCAGTTAATACATTCAGAAAAATCAACAAAAGATTGTGATCTTGTTGCAAAATTCTTGTATCTCCCTAGAATATCATCAGTCTGTTCGTTCTTTCTCACTCAGGCTATTTGTTCAGGAAGTCCTTTTTATTATTTCTCTATACAGTACATTAATCAGTAAGCAGTCAAGACGTAATAGTTGAAACGTTAAAATACCACATAGTTTACACTTGGTTTCATTGTTATTAGCATCTGTTCCATATTCCCAGTAATATTTGTACTCAAGCCAAGCCGCATGTGTACTGAGTCACACTAAGCCTTTTTTCTTTTACTGTAAGTGAAATTTGTGTTTTGACTCGCATGCATGTAGTGTTGCATGGTTTGACTTCTATATTATACCTCTCCTCACCACTTCTACTTGTGCCAGAATATTAACAGTACAGTATTTTGCTTTTTATTTTTATGGTTAAAACACATTTAGTGCCAACTTGTGGTGCATTGGATCAACTCATCAGCCACCTTGTTGAGCACTACAGTATTCCAAGATGGAGTTCACATGAATTTCACTTTGTGACCTTTTAGTTTTATCCTTTTCATACAATCCTCCACTATGGGCATGGAGATTGGATTTCAACTATTTAATCAATCGGTTACTTCTCGGCTATTTATATACAAAACCATCTCTTTTGTTTGAACAACTACTTCCAAACCAGCCAGAATGGCCTTCAGTTCAGTTTATATGGATGAAATACAATTACCAAGTTGAAGTTCAATTTTCCTGTCCACAGTTCCATACTCCGTGTATTCCCCTTTCAGGGTACAACCAACCCGTCACAATGTACATGTAATCTCTTGGTAACAGAGATATCATGCTACTATACAAACACTGTCGTTGTCTTGGATCATGCAGTCTTTTTCATTTTGAGGGATACAATTTCTACTTCTTCCTTTCGTACCTTCCAGGGAAGAGCTCTGCTACACTGTCGAGAAGGTTGCAGCAGTCGGATACAGTATATTGAAATTCCTCGAGACCATTTGCCAATCCTGTTGTGTAGCATGAGTATCCGTTTCCTGGATGTTTGTCTCGCTCGAGCAAATCTGAATGCTTTGAAAAAGCTTATGCCTTCCTCTCCTCATGAAGCGAATAGATACTCTAGTGTTAGTGTCACGGATTCATCATCATACACACACACACTGCAACTTTAATTCTATTCTCATTATTTCAATCACTCTATTTGACACCCAAGAATAATCCTCATAGCTTTGTTTTGTATTAGATTTAGTTGTTTCATTCTGCCTTGCCCTGTGTAAGACAAAACTGGCATTGCATAGTCTATCAGGGACCGGACAGTGCTTATGTATAACATCCGCAAGATAGGTACTGTTCCCCAATACCTTCACCAGAAAAAGCTAGTGCCTTTACAAGATGGTTGACCTTTACACAAGGGCTGATAGGATTGATTTCAGCATTTTTACTCTCTCATGAATCCAACACACATGCCCAGATACTTGTACTTCTGAATACAGCTCAGTTTCTTTCCGTAGTGTTATATTTCTTCGTTTCCTACATTCATATTAATTTTTTCTGCATTTATAACTAAGCCTAACTTGTGACAAGCTGCTCCACGGCATGTTAAGAGTGGTTTGAATTTTGTTACCAGGAGTTCCTTATAAGAATGTCATCAGCATATATGATCGTTGTGACCACTGTGGGGGGGGGGATTAATCTGATGCTAATCAGTTCATTAATACATTGAATAAAGTGGGACTTAAAACTTCCCATTGGGAGGTACTTAATTGAAACATCTTTTCCTCTGACACACATTCTTGGTATAATACGCTTGATTGTTTCTTCCTTGTAGATAATTGTGTATCTAATACGGCAGTCTTCCTGGTATTCCCAGATTAGCTAATTCATATAAAATTACCTCCCGTTGGCTTTTATCAAATGCACCTTACAGGTCGACTGATACTCTACAATTGTCGTCCATATTAGACAAACACATTGAGACCACAGTACTTTTGCCCTTGATAAAACCAGAGGTTATTCGACATGTTATCTCCTACAAGATAGGGTAGCCTATTTAACAAGATACTTTCCATTATTTTACAAAAGCAGGATGTTAAGGATACAGGCCTATAACCTCCATTTGACTTGGGTATAGGAATGATAACAGCCTCCTTCAATTTTCTTGGTAATTTCTCTCCCTATAACTAGCATTAAGCAAATAATGTAAGAGACTAGGTTTCATACTGGCTAAATAATTAAGAATGTCATACAGTATGTTACTCCTTCATTTCCCAGAGCTTCCTAGGGTGTGTGTAACAAAAAGGAGGCCTGGTCAAAGGCCCGGGCTGCGGAGACGTTAAGCCCCGAAATCATCTCAAGATAACCCTCATTTCCCAGAGCAGTAGAGCTGCCACTTTTTATAGCATCAAGTAGCTCGTTGTAAGTAATTGATACATGTTACTGATCCTGTATTTAAAGGACATTGTTACTCAATTTTTAGTATTTTCACCTGAATTGATGGCGTTTCTCGTGTTTTCGGATAAGGACTGCATACTAGCATCACTAGCCCATTTGTCTACTAACTCATTACAACCATTCATGGATCTATGAATTTGGTCTTGCAACCCCTGATTTTGTTTACTTCTCTCCTTATGTCTTTAAGGTTTTTAGTATTGGCAATTGATTAAGCAAACTCTTGCCAGTATGTATATGTTCTGTGCCTTCATCCTTGCCCGATTGCATTACATACCCACTTCCAACATCATATTGATCTTTTCCCTCATTCCATTTTTAACAATTCTGTGTGTGCTCCTTAACCTTCTCTCCCATTCCTTTACTTGCTTATCATTAGAATATTTCAATTTCTAGGTCAATGTGCTTTGATTCTGCTACCCCCTAGTTACTTTTCCTATGTACTACTCTCTTCTCTTGACATCATCCCCAATAACTGCTGGGCAAGTTTGTCCGTTCCTGGTGTCAACACCAGTTTCTTCATTCTCCACTGCTTTAGCATTGTTCTGCAGTCTCTTATCATTTCTACTAGTTTCACTATCACTGCCTCATTGCCTTCTGTTTTTTCCCTCCCCTGGTTAGCACTTCCTAAAACTCATTCTCCACCTCTGACTTGCTGTTTTCTGAGTCAGTGTTCATTTCTAGCTTGCTCTGAAGATTATGCAATACTGTAATGTAATTCTGTATATTTGATAAATCCTTATCCCTATTGTTCCTTACATTTTTAACATTTGACAACAGAAGACCTACCCAAAAAAAACTCTTTGCATACTGTGATACTGTGGGGTAATAAATCTTTACATACTGTGGGGTAATAAATCCAAATAAATGTGTTCAGTGTTACATCACCTCAGCGGCAACTGAATTTCTTAAGTGTTGACCCGCCAACAGTAGCCTCATTCGGTAATATCTTTCTAAACAAGTTCTAAGAGATTGGAAGAAAGTTTATTCCATTTTTTATATATTATTCCACAAATGTTAATGTCATCATTCAAGTACAGTATAGAGCTATGATAATGAGTACGAATGAATCTACGAATCTGAGAGAGAAATTGTCATGTGCTTCCTGCGTCTCTGTGAGGGACCTGGGTCTGGCCCTTGTCAATGGTAGGTCAAATAGAACTTCTGCAACTGATGTGATCATTTAGATCTTTTAGTGTGGAGTAATGTCAGGAAGATAACTTCAGGAAGCCATCAGGGCTGTGTCAGAAAGAGGCATTTCATTATGTTCAGTGCTGGATTTTTCATCTATTTTTAGGCTTTGTATGTTGACAGATTGATGATAGTATTATTGTTTGAATTAGTGTTCGGAACACTTTTTTAATAAACACGTTATTTACTGTTATGTTTCACTCGGTGATGTGTGGATGTTTTCAATTTTTTATTTTCCTCAGCCTACGCGTATTGTTTTTTATTGTTTATTTCAACTAAGTTTTTTCTGCTCACAGCATACTGTATCATCATTTCCCATGATACAAATAGTTCAGCACAAATTCTTCTTCATGCAGCCGCATTCCTTCGTTCTCCAGATTTATGAGGAAATGAATTACACAACTCGGGTCAACAATGGATCTCGAGTTGGAAAATCTTGCCTTTTGCAATTACTCGGTCACTATAGCAAAAACGTGGAAGCATGAAAAGAAAACCAAAATGGAGGTTAAAGGATTAAAAGCAACTTAAGCACCACTAGCAGCACATGACACTACCCTCACTCAGCGTAAAAACTAAACATAGAACTGACTGGGCTGCACCAAATGCAGCCCAACATTGCCATATGTAGTGCCAATAAATCCTATGAACAAATCCACAAGGGCCGTGACGAGGGTTTGAACCTACGTCCGAGATGATCCCAGACGCTGCCTTAACACTTTTGCCCACCGATGACAAAGTATGGAGTCAAAAATAAAAAAAAATTGGCTTGCTTTCGCTGCGATTTTGGACATTATATGCATATACCCCTTGAAGGGAATTTCATTGCGAATCCATTGATACCAAAATGAAAGACCTAGGACCAGAATTGAGGTAACAAAGTTGAAAAGAGCAAACCCATTTTATATTAGCGCTCACTGGGGTAACGTGCTGTCACTTTCTGTGGGTGGTACACCGTGCTTTTGGACTTTATATATGCATATACTCCTGTAGGGAATTCTATTGCAAACACAATGATACAAAAATGAAATACCTAATTCGAGAATTGAGGTGACCGAAGTGAAAAGAGTGTACATACTTCATTGCTCTTTAGTGCTCCCGGGTAACTTGCTCTCACTTTCTCTGTTTTGTGTGGGTGGTACGCTAGGGTTTCAGACTTTATATGCATTTAATTGTGTAGAGAATTCTGTTGTGAACACATTGATATCAATTGGAAAACCTAGGATGAGAATTTGAGATGACAAAGTTGAAAAGAGTATACACTTTTTAGTATTACCGCGTGCTCGCTCCTCGCTCCTGCGAGCTCCCGCAGAATGTCCAAAACCACTAGGGTAGGAGAAATGCTCGCTCTCCCAAAGCGTGAAAGTGTAAATTAACATTTTCGTCCGGGAACGACGCAGCATTGCGTCATTTTTTTAGATGCGATCCAGGGAACGACGCAGCATTGCGACATTTTCAGCGGCAGATTGGCAGCGGTTTTGGATATTATATGCATATACTCTTGTAGGGAATTTCATTGCGAATACATTGATACCAAAATGAAAGACCTAGGACCAGAATTGAGGTAACAAAGTTGAAAATAGTATACCTTTTTATTAGCGCTCGCTGGGATTATGCTACGTCACTTTCTCTGTTTGCTGTGGGTGGTACGCCTGGCTTTTGGACTTTATATTTGCATATACTCCTGTAAGGAATTCTATTGCGAACACAATGTTACCAAAATGAAAGAAAGACCTAGGACGGGAATTGAGGTGACAAACGTGAAAGGAGTGTACACATTTTATCGCTTTTATGCGCGCCTGGGTAACACGCGCACTCACTTTCTCTGTTGTGGATGGTACGCCGGGCTTTTGGAGTTTATATGTCTTTAGTCGTGTAGAGAATTCTATTGCAAACACAATGATACCAAATTGAAAAACCCTGGACGAGAATTGAGGTGACAAAGTTGAAGAGAGTATACACTTTTCAGAACTCCCGCGCGCTCCCGTGAAACGCTGGGACCCACTGGGCCTAGTTGAGGGCTGGCGGGCTGGGGCCGCCAAAGTGTTTAGAACATAAAATAATAAGACATTGACACTGTGTGTAAATCACATACTTTTCATAAAAATTAATAGTGTAACAAAATTGCAGAATACATTTAATTTACAATATACAGTACAGTAATTCCTTGATAATGTGTGCAATGTTAAGTGTTCATACAAACTTTCCTGGCTTAATGCAGCTGCTGGTAGAAAAATATAGTATCGAGCACATTTTCATGAATGTACCAGACCAACACCGATAAGCAAAGTTATTGTACTATTTTTCCTGTTTTTTAATTTTCTATAATTTTCAAAGGGAAAATATTAAGTTTTTTGTTTGTTTGTTTACTGGGGAAGTCGTCTGGAAATGTTGCCACAGGGGTAAGTGTTGGCTGATTATTTGGTTATATCACAAGGATGCACCTGTACATATTCAGTGTTTTGCTCATGTTTTAGGTGTGAATTAAAATTTTTGTATGAGTTGCATTATCCAAAGGTTTGTTGTATTTTAATTTCTAAAATACTTATGAAAGTAGAGTACTGCATTGTACTGTTGTACTGTTCCATATTGTGACAGCCAATGATCATGTGTACGACGTTGTACGTATTTGTAAACTTTATCACCAGTTATGTTTCTTTCAAGACCTACATGCATACTAAGTCGTTCCTTGATCAGTAATTACATGGATTCTGTCCTAATGTACTCCTCAAGAAAGACTGAATATCCCATGTGGAAAAGCTTAGGTTTTCAAAAGCTCCTTTCCTTTGTTTATATTGACATCCTGTTTTGGCAGGTTGAGTATCGTTACTGTGTTTGCATCATTCTGGAGCCAAGGCCAGGACTACACGATCGAGCTGTCGTTGTCAGACGATGGGAGACGAATATAGCACCACGCAAAATTCCTGATGCAGGTAAGTTTACTCACTTGGTCTATGTATTAATAATTTTCAATGTAGCTAACAAATATTTTTAGCAATTGTATTTGCATGGCTTATTCTTGTTTTTTTTTTTTTTTTTTTTTTTTTTCCCCCTAAGCTTGGCATTGCACCAGCCCTGTTAGTGCTAATTCCAATGTATTTAGCAATCGATAACATTTTATATGAATGCATTCAAATCTTTAACAAATAACTATGATGTTGCTAGTGTAAATTTAGTTAAAAAAAATAATTTGAACTTGTTCAATTCATAATTGATGAATGCAACCCATCCTCTAAAAAAAATAATACTGTACTTAATGTAACTATTGATCAAACTTACAATGATATACTGTTGTACCCCAAAAAAGTTTTTGTACTAATGGAATACAGTATTTCAAATAGTAGGCCAAAAAAATTGGAACATTAACTATGCAACTTGATGTGCCCTAGGCCTGAGGAAGTAATCTTAGGATTAATTTAGTACATATACAATGTATACAAAGATGGGCACCTGTTCAACAAAAAGCACAAGAGGATTGTGATCCTTGCTTCAAAATGGACTGATGGGCCCAGTCGCAGCCCTCTTGGAAGAAAGGAACTTTGACTTGGTCCTCAGTCCTTGCCTTAAATATAAGTGAAATATTTAATTCAAATGTGCAATTCAAGAGGGCAGAAATCATTATTATTAATGATTTACTGTTTCTTTTGATAGAAAGCCCTATTGTAATATTTGCTGTAGATGGCATCTTTTTCCACATTATTAGCAGTCTCATCTGGGGGAGGATGGTAGCAAAGCTGCATATAAAGTACTGTAGAGCCAAGCTTACAAGGGAATTCCTGTAAGCTTCTGGACCATATTGTACCGCCTCCAGTCACGATGCAGGGTGGTAAACCCTTTATATACTATTTACTGGGCATTGGTCAGCAACTGACTGGAGCAAATTACGTTAACACAAATACTGCCAGACCTTCACAGTTCCTCCCCACTGTGAATTCATGATGAGAATGCTAATTACATAATTAGCTAGAGTGGTCAATTAGTCACACAGACAATTAATTGCACCTGAAACGTATCTCAACAAGCTCAACACTGTTTCCCTTAACAGCTCTCTCTCATTAAGTAATGTGCAACCCTTATGTTGTTAATTACCCCTTAACTAACTCTCAGTTATTCCTTAAGTCATCAACCCAACTTAAAGAACACAAAGTAACCCCATGTTACATAGGTCACACTTAGTGGCATAACAACATAAATGCACAGCCCACACACGGTTGCAGCTCTCTGCAACACGGTAATTACTGTACCCTTACAGTAATGACACGGTTTGGCAACACAGAAGTATACCTACATTACTGCCCCCTCTAATCTTGCAACAGTTGCAAGGAACTACTGTGTGGAATCACTACTCTAGCAAAACAATTTACGTTAATATAAGACACCGTCGCTACACTGACAGCTGGCACTAATTTTCATAATTAGGCAGATTAACCAACCAATTGCTTACTCTGTCATTAAGGACTGTGAATTCCCCCTGAATAATTAAAGGGACCTCCTTAAATCAACACCACAGTGCCTATCTTGAGGTTATCACAAGATGATTTTGGGGCTTTAGTGTCCCCGGTCCTCGACCAGGCCTCCACCCCCAGGAAGCAGCCCGTGACAGCTGACTAACACCCAGGTACCTATTTTACTGCTAGGTAACAGGGGCATAGGGTGAAAGAAACTCTGCCCATTGTTTCTCGCCGGCGCCCGGGATCGAACCCAGGACCAAAGGATCACAAGTCCAGTGTGCTGTCCGCTCGGCAGACCGGCTCCCTTAGGTCCCGTTATATTAGGCTGACTAACACGTTATATTACTGCCTAGGGCAGTAATATAACGTATTCCAAACAAGAACACTGCCCAAACATACAAACATAATGATGCCGTCAGGATACACCACATGCTAATGACATCACTATGCAGTCAGTCAGCAATCACAATTTCTGACTCACCACACAACACCATAATAATATACATGCAAATGAAACACATGGAAATGGTACACACTAATCAATGATCATAAATCAAATAGCTTACCCATCATGCATCCACATAAATTTACATATAATAAAATATCACTAGAGAAATTATACATAATTATACAGACCTCAGGGTGTCCACTGACAACCCTACTTCACTGGCCTGCCTACCTCTGCAATGATATAATTAACATGCGGCAACATGGCATTAATCTTGACTCTGAACGATATATATTGAATCGACAGATCAACAATCACTTGTATGGTAGAAATATCTACACTGACCGGTTTACATACTTGAGTCAGTCTACACACAAAATATATCTATATACATTTACATGTGTGGTTCTTTGTATACCCCCACATGTCACAACAGTCACCTTGACGTCAGTACAGACAGCTGCCTCTCAGCTGCTTCCCTCGCCTGGCAGGCGCTATGGGACAACCAACCCGTTCTCGCAAATTCGTAAAGTCAATATTGACTTATTAACTACGTGCATAGGTGATATACTAAACATAATAGATACCCTTAAAAAGATTCATAGAAAACACCGACCTTACCTAACCTTGTTAGTATCTTAAGATAAGCATCTTATTGCTTCGTAATTACAATTATTACTTAACCTATACCTATTATAGGTTAGGTAATAATTGTAATTACGAAGCAATAAGATGCTTATCTTAACATACTAACAAGGTTAGGTAAGGTCGGTGTTTTCTATGAATCTTTTTAAGGGTATCTATTATGTTTAGTATATCACCTATGCACGTAGTTAATAAGTCAATATTGACTTATTAAATTTGCGAGAACGGGTTGGGGACAACGCAGCTGGTATCGGAATTAACATCAGTCCAGAGACACTGCATACATTGCATAATAATGAGTACTCACGTTACCACTTTACATACATTCCCCGGTCACAGCCTCACCTGCAGAAAAACACCTAGCTCGCTCCCACGTGCGTCGACTAGGTGTGGCCCTAGGGAGTGTGGCCAAAGCATGTGTGGCCACCCCATGGCCCTAAGGGGGTGGCCATGAGGAGTGCGAGGCAGTCGTGGCGCCTTGCCTTGGAGGAGGGGGCGCACGGTGTGGCCGGTGTGGCCAGGGTGTAGTCATCGTGTGGCCCCACGGTGTCTGGCCACGGAGTGGTGCGGCACGGGGTAGCCGAGACCTCATGCTGGAGCCTCAGGCGTAGATAACGTGGGTGGAATTTTACTCACACCCACACACACACACACCATGAGCATGGCTCACTCATACACCGGGTGTGATAATGGCGGGTGACACAACATGGTGGACATGGCAAGGTGGAATTTCAAAGTCCAACAGGGCCTGTAATTTCCTGAATATTACATTAGGACCCTCCTGAACACTGGGAGGCCCTGCCCGATTCCACCACTTGCCAGTTATCAAGACAGGATAACACACACCAGATGTGAGCAACACATCTGAGGCTTGCCTGGTGCCTCATGGGTGAGCACTGTCTGCTAGAGTCTTACACAGTTCTTTCCTTACTCCTTGGCACAAGATCACGCAAATTGGATCCAGACACGATCCACAGTGGCAGGATTACCGTGCGTGATGGGTAATGAAGATAACACAGCGATAACAGGCGTGGAGGTGGCAGACACGCCACCCCCCCATCTTCCTGGGCATCCAGTCCGCTTGCTCGCCCTCTCTAGACTCCTGATTTGGCGGGCCAGTGAAACTTAAAATGCCTGTCTTTCTCCCCCCCCCACCTTGTCTTAACCAATCAGAACAAAGCCGGCACAGCCTATCGTGCCGCTTCCAATTACAGCCGTTCACGCCTAAACATCACCTCAAGGCTGAGATGCCTAGACGAATCATAGGTGAGATGCCTTGAGGCGTCCTGTGACGTCACAAGGCGGGGGAAGCCTAGGTGAGGGAGGCGACGTTCACCCCCCCCCCTGTCCCCCCACCTCCCATAAAACAGTTGGCTAGTGAGTGCAAGTACCCTTTTATACCACACTCACTCTCACAAGTCCCATTTCTCAGAAAACAGACTAAATTCTGTAACTCTCTACAGAGCAGTCAAAGACTCATGGCTAGTCTTAAACGATGGTACTTAGCATAAGCTTTCATCCAACATCACACAAGTACTGGTAGTTTGAAAACTTCTTGTCTAGAGTGCACCCTACACTCTAGCCTAATCTAGTAAAACTAGCTGAGGGAATTTCCATTCCCTCACAAAAATGCTATAATATATTACTCAGGATGCACTGAATCTTGGCAGCTAATATATATAAGCCAGCATTTAAGTTATATGCATAAATTTTGGAAACATTGTTGCCCATCAGAATACTGTAATATATTTCACAGCAGGCACTGAATTTACATGCATCTCCTATCTGGGAAAGCAATGAACCAAATTTAAGTAGGTCTCACAGTGGGGCAACAGACTGACACTAGTTGAGTATATATAACTCAATTGTCATCAGAACCTGCATGACTAATATGGCCCAAATGTTTGCAATAATCAGCTGTCCACAAATTTCTCAGCCTTTATCATTGTCATGGATCAAATAGTCATCTACCAAATCGTGCAACATCTAACTAATATCGTAGCATTGACTATATCTTCTGTTATTGAATAAATTGCACCATTTCATGCTAAATACAAGATACTTGTCTGTGCATTGGACATAGACATGCAGTCCATGTGGTCTGAGAGCCTTTACAGGTGTTCTTGATAAAACCAACCTCTGCATCCTCCATCTCCCATTCAGAAAGTCTCTTGCTGGGCCACCATGGCTTGCTGTTCTCGCCAACTGTTCCAATGCTATTCACATATATAATACTGTAATCTCCCTTTCATCTGTGTACTGTATTAGTTTAATAGGTCCTGTACTGGTTTTCAACAGTTAACACTGATCTCCAGTCATAACTTTGTCATCGAATGTACATGGAAAAGTATATCCAATAATCTTGACACTGTTTACCCTAAATTTTTCCAGGAATATTTGTTAATGCAGACCTACGCACGCACATTTGGTGAATGTGTCCATTGGTATTTGTCATATTTTCCCACCCAATGAACACTGATCTTGTTCTTTAATGAACATGCTATGCCAAGTCTGCCATATGAGAAAAATCTTTACATACTCCTTCCCTTACTTCAGGTGCATAGTGAGGGACCAGACTACAAGTGTGTTAGCAGCAATGTTAACCCTTTCTTCTCTCCACCTTTGAACTGCTATTTTGTAGTATAATAATTTTTTTTGTTTTTAATCTTTCTTTCCTAGCATGGCACAGACTTATCCATAAGGTAACACAGTATTAATTCTAACTTTCCTAATTGTTTAAAGCTTCATGTTTTGATATAGGTAATATCACCGGGTGTGATGCCTTCAGTTTTGAGTCGTCAATGCTTGTTGCAGTCTAAAATTTCATCTTTGTAAAGGCAACTTTGTATAGTTTCCTTTTTATGGTACTGTATTTTGTTTTCATTATTACAAATTCTGTTCAGTTTAAACTTCTTTACCATCAGTGAGCAGTCTTCCTGAACCACAAATAGATCACTTTGGCTCATATGGTGGGTTTGAACGAGTTGACCAAGGGTGGCTGGTGAAGGACTCGTTGGTACAGCTGCGGCTCTGTAAATCCACCCTTTACAATGATCCTGTGATGCTCTTCAAGAGGAGGTACCAAAATAAGAATGTAAGTATTAGAAGATGTGTGAGAATTTGAATTGAATTCATTATTGACCAAGGTGTGAGGTTATTGTTTCTGGAAAGACCATTTCTCTTATTGTCTGGAACCCCTCTCTAAATTTAACCCTCAAACCGCTAGGGGCCCTAATGGAATTAACACCCACAGGCACAACAAAAAAAAAAATCCAAAAAATTCTTTCGTCTTATAGAAGTGTTCATTTTTGTTCCCTGATCACGGAAAAAATAACAAAAAAATTGTAGGTGGCATATTTTAGCCGCAATAGGGTAGGGAAGTGTGGCAAAAAAGGGGCGTTGGAAGAGCCTTCGCCAGACGAGGTCTACTCCGCCCGAGCTGTCAGACGGCAGTTGCCACAAATATATTATTACCTAATTATTTCAATGTCTCTGATTTTTTTTTAGTTTTTTTGCAGTAATATTATTCCATACAGTGAATTGTGGTATATTTATATAATAAAATGTGTGAACCATCGCTGTACTCAAAAATTATGGTGTGCATACTAGTGATTCAATTATGTTCATAAAACAATAAACAAATAGTTTTGCTGCTGTTACACTATATACTCAGGTTATATATAAGTATCTGCGTGTTTTGTTCACCATAACGAACTACTAAGTTGGTCTTGTGAGTCAAAAAGCAACGAGGAGTGACTGCCACACACCAGCCAGCCACTCCCTCCCTCAACAACACCTCACTCGCCCTCATTCTCCTCCCACAATGCTGTTTTGCATTTATTCACTATACACAGACGTTATATATACGTATTTACATGTTTTGTTCACCATAACTGTACATCTAAGCTTGTATGGTGAGTAAAGGCACAAAGATGTAGCTATTCACACAGTCGGCTGGTGAAGGCCGCCCTCAAGGCCAGACGCACTAATATTTCTCCTCCAACAATATTGTTTGTGGTGTTATTACGCTATATACACACATTATATATAAGTATCTACCTGTTTTATTCCCCATACCTGTACAAATAAGCTGGTATGGTGCCCAAAGACCATAGTGGCCACCAGTAAACATGACAAGTCGTGCAGACCACGCATTTCCCTCACCAAAATGGCGGTTCTCAACCTACTCCTCTTGCTGTTATCTCACACTATAAACACGTTATATACAGGTATAAGTATCTACATTTGTGTTCACCATAGCGAACCACTAAGCTGGTATGGTGAGTGCAGTCAATAAAAGGTGGCCACACAAAGTCAGAAGACAACGCCACCACCCTCCCTCCCACAGCATTACTTCTCCCTCCATGGCGCACAGTGCTAAATATCACCACAATCCTGCAATTATCAGAATCCTGGTCAGTTTTATCACAGTCAGGGGTCTTCTATAATACTATCATCGCTAAATAATAGCAGTATCATATACATTATGGCATTTGTAGGCGATGCTGTGGTCAAAAGCTGAACAACGGGGCTGTGAGCTCGTGCTGCGTGCGCCAGCCTTGGTGGCTTGCTCAATACTGACGCTCAAACACCCAAGAATGTTGGCCTGGATTTTTTTCTAGGTGGCATCTGGCAACTATTGGTCGTGGCTGTACTATAGCTGCCCCTATCCCAGGCGGGGCGTTTAAATTATAGCGCTAGACACGAAAGCATATATAAATGATGTGCGCGGTTTCGGTTTTGTCACTGATATCATATATGTATGATATGCGCGGTTTAAGGGTTAAGGTGTAAAGGCATTGCTGTCAGATGGCATTCACCAGTTTTTTTGTCATTTACAAAAGTAATCCAAAATATGGTTGCAATTGGTTGGAAGTGCCAAGTTTACAACACACAATGAAGAAAGTCATTATGAGTACTGTACAATGTAACTGTTAATTTTGTATTTGTTCAAGCTTGCTTTACTGAAAAGGCAGCTTTTGTTAGGTAATATGCCATGTCTTCTCTTTTTGTGTTATTACTCTCAAATGTTTTATTGCATTAGTGTGATTTTTAGCAGTGGTACAATTGTCTCTTAACCCTTAAACTGCGCAACGCGCCTGCAGGCTCACGTCTGGTTTGCGCAACGCGCCTCCGGGTATTTGTATTTTTCACGTTCCATTCAAAACTCCCGCGGCTACATGGGGTTCACATCAGCTTCCTCAGGGCTCTTGTAAACAGACGCCATCTTTAAAAAAAATCGTGGTCCACATTCCCGGGTGTGGGAGCCTCAGTAGTGTGTGAGCAACCAAGGCTGGCGCTCGCAGCATGAGCGCACAGCACTGCTGTTCAGCATGTGACCACAGCATCGCCTAATAATGCCAAAATATATATATAACTTGTATTATTTAGCTATGATAGTGTTATATTAGAGCCTGAGTGTGATAATGACTGGGTACAATGTTCAAATATCAGTGATTCAATGCTGTTCACGATGTTCACAGCGCTAGCCACAGCACCACAGCATTATTTCGTTCATCTAGGAATCTTCAAATGATTTCTTAGGTTCCTTTTCAAAATAAACGTGTGGTCAATTATTCATTTACAGGAATTAGTGACCAGGATTGTGATAATAGCAGGATTGTGGTTATAATTAGCGTTGTGCGTAGTATTGTGGAAGGAGGAATTTTGATGAGGGAGGGCGATAATTGAGGTAGCCTCATTGTGTGTGTGTGGCTGCCACTCTTGTTTTGCTCACCATACTAGCTTACATAAGAACATAAGAAACATAAGAACATAAGAACAAAGGCAACTGCAGAAGGCCTATTGGCCCATACGAGGCAGCTCCTATTCTATAACCACCCAATCCCACTCATATACTTGTCCAACCCGTGCTTGAAACAATCGAGGGACCCCACCTCCACAATGTTACGCGGCAATTGGTTCCACAAATCAACAACCCTGTTACTGAACCAGTATTTACCCAAGTCTTTCCTAAATCTAAACTTATCCAATTTATATCCATTGTTTCGTGTTCTGTCCTGTGTTGATACTTTTAATACCCTATTAATATCCCCCCGGTTATGTCCATTCATCCACTTGTAAACCTCTATCATGTCACCCCTAACTCTTCGCCTTTCCAGTGAATGCAACTTAAGCTTTGTTAATCTTTCTTCATATGAAAGATTTCTAATTTGGGGAATTAACTTAGTCATCCTACGCTGGACACGTTCAAGTGAATTTATATCCATTCTATAATATGGCGACCAAAACTGAACTGCATAATCTAAATGGGGCCTAACTAGAGCAAGATATAGCTTGAGAACCACACCAGGTGTCTTGTTACTAACGCTGCGATTAATAAATCCAAGTGTCCGATTTGCCTTATTACGAACATTTATGCATTGATCCTTTTGTTTTAAATTCTTACTAATCATAACTCCCAGATCCCTTTCGCAATCCGACTTCGCAATCACAACACCATCTAGCTCGTATCTTGTAACTCTATCATCATTACCTAACCTCAGAACTTTACATTTATCAGCATTAAACTGCATCTGCCAATCCTTTGACCATTTCAAAACCCTATCTAGATCAACTTGAAGTGATAGTGAGTCCTCCTCCGAATTAATTTCCCTACCGATTTTCGTATCATCGGCAAATTTGCAAATGTTGCTACTCAAACCTGAATCTAAATCATTTATATATATTATAAACAACAGAGGTCCCAGGACAGAGCCTTGAGGCACTCCACTTACAACATTTTCCCACTCTGACTTGATTCCATTTATACTAACTCTCTGTTTCCTTTGGTATAGCCATGCCCTAATCCAGCTTAATATAGCACCCCCAATACCATGAGACTCTATCTTTTTAATCAGTCTTTCATGTGGCACTGTATCAAAAGCTTTGCTAAAGTCAAGGTATACAACATCGCAATCCTTACCACTATCAACTGCCTCAACAATGCTAGAATAAAAAGATAACAAATTTGTTAAACATGAACGGCCATTTATAAAACCATGTTGCGACTCAATTATTAATTTATGTTTTTCAAGATGAAGACGAATTTTATTTGCTATTATAGATTCGAGTAACTTTCCCACAATAGACGTTAGGCTAATTGGTCGATAGTTAGACGCAAGTGATCTATCTCCTTTCTTAAAAACTGGTATCACATTAGCAACTTTCCAAAACTCTGGCACTCTGCCTGACTCTATTGATTTATTAAATATGGTTGACAGTGGGTCACAAAGCTCCTCTTTGCATTCTTTAAGCACCCTGGCAAACACTTCATCCGGCCCTGGGGATTTGTTTGGTTTGAGTTTTACTATTTGTTTAAGAACATCCTCCCTGGTAACTGCTAAACTCGTCAACCTGTCCTCGTCCCCACCCACATAGACTTGTTCGGCTGAAGGCATATTGTTAAGTTCCTCTTTAGTAAATACAGATACAAAATATTTATTAAAAATACTACTCATCTCTTCATCACTATCTGTTATTTGACCTGTCTCAGTTTTTAATGGACCTATCCTTTCCCTAGTCTTAGTACGATATAACTGAAAAAACCCTTTAGGATTTGTCTTTGCTTGCCCTGCTATGCGAACTTCATAGTTTCTTTTTGCTTTCCTTATCTCTTTTTTAACATTTCTAACCAGTTGTACGAATTCCTGTTCTAAAGTGACCTCCCCATTTTTAATCCTTTTGTACCAAGCTCTCTTTTTACCTATAAGGTTCTTCAAATTCTTTGTTATCCACTTTGGGTCATTAGTATTCGATCTATTCAATTTGTATGGTATACTACGTTCCTGTGCTTTGTTTAGAATATTCTTAAATAAGTTATATATTGAATCCACATCGAAATCCCCATTTAAGTCACCTATCGCTGGGTTCATGTCTCGCTCCAAGACCGGCCCACACCCCATACCCAAGACTTTCCAATCAATTTGACCCAAAAAATTTCTTAGGCTATTAAAATCAGCTTTTCGAAAATCTGGCACTTTAACAGAATTTTCTCCTACTGGTCTATTCCATTCTATGCTAAATCTGATTTCTTTGTGATCACTGCTCCCTAGCTCACTCCCTATTTCGATGTCATTAATTTGCGTTTCCCTG